GCAATCCCCTATACTTGCGGGTTATCAATGACCCGAGGTTTACCAATCCATGAGAGGTGTAGGATGAAGAGGGTCTCTCTCAAACGACCCTGCAATCAAATACAAGAAATCTTTTGTGTCTCCAACATACGCAGTACAATGGTAAATTGTATAGGTGAACTAGTTCGGCGAAGAGATGATGATACAAGTGTAGTATGGATAGTAATATAGGTTTTTGTAATCTGTAATAATAAAAAACCACAAGGGAGCAAGTGATAAAAGTGAGCACAAACGGTATTGCAATGCTTGGAAACAAGACCTGGGGTTCATACTTTCACTAGTGCAATCTCTCAACATCATTAGCAGAATTGACTCACATAACAATCCCTCAAAGCGTGGTGAATAATTTCTCCAAAGTCTCTATTCCTATCAGAGAAAGTAGGATGGAATCACATAGGTAGTAAACCACCTCGAAGTTGTGTTTCCAATCGATCTTATGTACCACCCCAAAGTGTCACAAATAGTTGTAGAGATCGTACTACGACAACACCATTTGATATGCATAAACCAACTCTAATGTCACCTAGATTCCCAATGTCACCACGAGTATTCGTGGGTGAGATATGCATCAAATGATCTCAAATCCAAAATATTAAATCCATTGACAAAGAAATCTCAAAGAGCAAGATTCGATTCACCACAAAAGAGATAGAGGGGAAGAACACCATATGATCCAGCTATATTAACAAAGCTCATTGTACATCAAGATCGTATCCTATCAAGATCATGAGAGACAGAGATAAAGCACATAGCTACTGGTACATACCTTAAGCCCCAAGGGTGAACTACTCCCTCCTTGTCAGGGAGGTAGCAGGGATGATGAAGATGGCCTCTAGTGACGGCCCCCCTCTGACAGGGTGCCGAAACAGGGCTCCGGATGAGATTGCTTCGAAACATAGGCTTGCGGTGGCGGAAAAACTCATCCAGGTTAACTTTCAGGGGTTTGTGAATATATAGGATTTTACAGTGCTGGAATCACGCCAGGGGTAGTCCCAAGGGCCCTACGAGCTCACATGGCGCGCCCCTAGGGGTGTCGCCCCTTGATCTTGTGCCCCCTGGCACCTTCTAGCTCCCTCTCGAAGCTTCGTGGGTCACTTTCCTTCCGTAAAAAATAACTGTAAAATAATTTCGCGTTTGGATTTCGTTTGGTATGGTTTTCCCGCGAAACAAAGAAGTAGATTAATATTTTAGTCCATAAAAATAATATAAAAGTGCACCAAAACCATGTAGAACTCATGTAAATATAGCATGAATACTTCATAAATTATAGATACATTGGAGACATATCAACCACATAGTAGGAAGCTTTCGGGCCTTGACTTCTATGACCTAGGTGTCTCAAATCTCCAAGAGTAACAAATTTGGTGTATAACATATGTGAAGGCAGCGAATTGGTTTGGTGGAAGTGTATATCGGGGGATTCTCTGTAAATCCTCAAAGT